CCAATAAATAAATCAAACTATATTCCACATCTGAGAGAAAGATAACATAGGAACATCCTTGATTCCAATGAAATAGGTGGTATTAAAAGCTATACAAATCCATCTGTGTATATAGAGGCAATTTAGTTAATAAAATCATCAAGAGCAACCATAAAAGGGAAAGATGTTGGAAAAGGGCAGCGCTGAGCTGGAGGTTGTAGTGCTCTGGTTGCCAGGCAGCCACCCTCAGGCCCTCTCTTGTTACCGTGGTGATGTTTGGAGAGCTTACCTAAACACTCTTTGAGATAGCATCTGAACTCTCCACATCCTTTTAGCACCAACTAGTCATGCCACTTCTTTTTACTCCTCCCCCACAACTCCACCTACACTCTTATAATCTTACAAATTTGATGCACCTACAAGTGTACCTCCAATGTCCAAGGCTAAGGAATGATGCTAATTTGCCTGCCCTGGGATATGAATGAAAGGATAGTTAATGAATAATAGAATAGATCAAAATAAGTTTCTTTAAATTTAATATATATATGGTAAATAATGCAGGATTTATCAGACTTAAGGTCTTGAAAACCCTATTATGGACACAATACCTTTATTTTATTTATTTATTTTTAATGTGGTATTGAGGATTGAACCCAGTGCCTCACCCATGCTAGGCAAGAACTCTACTGCTGAGCTACAACCCCAACCCATTAAAAAGCCTTTTTATTAAGGCTTGGTAACCAAGAATCTTGACTTATAGTTCTGATGCTCTTCTATTTATCACTGTGTGATCTTGTTCATGTTAGTCCCCTTTTCTATACCTGAACTTTTTAATTTGTAATAAAAGGAAGTTGAATTTTAATAGCTACTTTTAAACATTTCTGGCCATAACCTAATCTAAGAAATACATTTTACAGCACAGCCCAGTATACTCATATACATGACAACAAATCTGAAACAAAAATTTTATGAAGCAATTCTGACAATTACTATGTGTGATGCACTTTGATATTTTCTGTGCTATTCTTTTTCATATTTTTAATTGCTGGTTGTGACCCAGTAAATCAATTTCATAACCTCATTAATGCTTCACAATCCACAGTTTGAAGAACACTGAACTAATGAGTATCTAATGACTTCCTATAGTTGTAGTATTCTGATTTTATGTCATGCCTTTAACTTCCTTTTAGAATAATAGCAACAATAGCTAGCATTTATTGAATTTTTAGTATGTTCCATTCATTATTTTAAGTACTTTACCCATATGAAGTAACTTAATTTTCAACAAATGTGACTACTTTTATTAGTACAATTTTAAAGATGAATAAATCGATGTGCACCAAATTTGGTATTCTACCAAAATACATTTTGTGAAATATTTAAAGTGTTTTGAATATCTTACTTAGAACATATCCATTTTATAGCCTTGTCTGTTTTTATAATTTAACCTCTGGAGGGCACTGTAACAAAACTTCCAGATGAGGTAGAAAAACTAACCTAAAGGTTACCCTAAAAGTCACTCTAAAAGTCTCTTCCCTTAATTACTGTTATTGTGTACTATAACTGATCCTAAAACAGGTGTAATAATACCACACCAGGGAGCATTCATACTCCTGTAAGTGTAAAAAATGCTCAAATAGACACCTAAATTCTTAGTGTGGCACACATTATCAGCAGATTGCCAGAGCAATACAAAAGACTCCAAAAGTGTACACTTAGTCATGTACATCTTTATTGTGAATTGTAGTGTAAAAACAGACATGGGTGCTATTTCTTCCCAATTTCAACTACCAAGCACTACAATCAAAATCCATCTTTCATGAATTAGCTGGAGGGACCATAATGTGATGATACAGTATTATTATGCATAAATTCCATAGAGTACATAGTTCAAAAGATGCTGATGAATCAGATTTTAAATACTTCGGTTATGTTCTTTTTAAAGGATAAATAATAGATAGTTGATATTTAATGACTCCTACAGTAAATCTAATAAAAATCCACAATTTCACTTAATCATTTAACAATTACTGTTGAGCATCTACTTTATGCTAGATACTGATTTTACCACTGGAGATTCAGTAGTGAAAGTCACAACGTGCCTACGTTGAGGGAACTTATTTTATGCTTTATAAATAAAAATATTTGTTTATTGCATTTGTGTGCTTATGGGAAGACACACTTGTATATTTCTTTTGGAAGAAAGGTAGTGATAATTGTGTTTTACATTTATTTAAAATAGTCAAATGCCTTTTATGCATAGTAACTGTGAAAGAACTATAGGAAATAAAAAAGGAACAAATCAGGTTTTGCTCTCAAAAAGCTTCTAATCTAGTTACTCCAATGCCACGTAACCAAGAATATTTTGTACCCCATGAAACATTTGGCAATGACTGGGGATATTCTTGATTGTCACAATGGAGTCTGGGGGAGTAGGTAATATAGTCATGTGCTGGGTAGAGTCAATGAATAATTCTTAACATCTTATAGTGCACAAGACAGTCTTACAACAACTAATTTCCTAGCCAAAAATGTAAAGAGTGCCCTAATCAGACAGAATACATAATTTGAAAGGGTTTTTTAAAATGTTTTTTCATTAGTGCAGTATAGTTTTACAATTCATAGGGTTCATTTTGACATAATCACACATGTGTGGAATATAATTTGTTCCACTTCAGTCCCTAGTATTTCCTCTTTTTCTCTCATCCTCTCTCCCTCATTCCCCTTTCTGTACTCTGCTGTTTTTCCTTCAATTTATTTATGGTTTTTAAAATTGGTGCTTTATAGACAAACATAATGTTGAAATTCACTATGGTATATTCATATATGTACATAGCATAATAGTCAATTTCATTCCACCACAGTTCCTCTTTTCTAGTCTCTCCCCTTCTATCCCTTTCTGTCGTTGACTGATCTCCCTTCTATTTTCATGGGATTCTCTCTCACACGCACTTATTTTCCTCATTTTTCTCTAGATTCTGCATATGAGGGAAAACATTCAGCCCTTACTTTCTGATTCTGGCTTATTTCACTTAGCATGATGTTCTCCAGTTTTATCCATTTACCAGCAAATGACAAAATTTCATTCTTCGTTATGGTTGATTAAATCTTCATTGTATATGACATGTTTTTTAACGGAAAGTTATTAGATGACAAATGTTAAATGAATGATATTTACAAAGCAATACTGAGAAGAGAAAGATCATTCTAAATTTAATTGGTTCAGAGAGGTGCTATGAAGGAAATGGAGCTCAAGTTGAAGTGTAATGTCAATCCTCTGCTCAATAAAGGAAAACATTCTGGGCCAGCTACCTATCTGACTTCATCTACCCCTCTTCCTTTCTCTCCTGCACTACAACCCACTTGCTTTTGCATATCCTTGAAAATATCCAACGTATTTTCTGTTTCTTATGGATTCTGCTCTTGCTGTTCTCTCTGATTCAAGTGTTTCCCCAGATATCCGCATAGGTCACCACCTCACTTTCTGCACGTCTCTTCTACTCAATATGTTATTAAAGAAACTTTCCCTAATCAAACTCTAAAATATTAACTCCTGTCCCTCCACTCCTTTTCCCCTTACTATGATTTTTTGTCTCCACAGCCAACTGTACACGGCTCAGAAAAATATATGTAGAATGAGTGAAATAATTAAATAATTAAATATTAAAAATCGCAGAGTTCTTCAGCCCAAGCAGTGAAAAGCTAGACTATGAAACCCTGACCATAGTTATCCCCAGTAGACAAGAACAGTACCTGTTTCATAGTAGGGACTTAATAAACAGTGTATAAAGAATAATAAAATAAAATAGCAAAATGAAATTAATATAAACAAAATTAGCTCATAAAACCTTTCAAATATTCTTAGGACAATTACTACATTATGTGTAATATTAGCACTTCTGGATACATCTAATAAATATCATGATTTTTTTAAAAAAATTAGTTGTAGATGGACCATAGCTTTATTTTGTTTGTTTATGTTTATGTGGTGCTGAGGATCAAACCCACTGCCTCACACTTGCAAGGCAAGCACTCTACCACTGAGCCCTTATATTTTTAATTCTGGCTATTCTAATAAGTTTTTTCACTTCAAAATATTCCTGATATATGCTCTGTACTAATGAAATGCAGGTATTGAAAGTCTGTAGCTTATCTGTATATTAGGCTAGTTATTATATTAAAAATAAGTGCATTTTAAGAGAGCACAATGTAGGCTGGAGTTGAGGCTCAGTGGTAGAGCACTTACCTAGCATGCATGAGGCACTAGGTTCGATCCTCAGCAGCACATAAAAATAAAATCAAGATATTGTGTTCACCTTTAAATAAATAAATAAATAGAAAGAAAGAAAGAAAGAAAGAAAGCACAATCTAAAAGTGATTCTATCAAGTCAATTCTACTATCTTCTGTTTTAATTTGCACTTAATCACTAATTCACCCACCCTGCTCTCAAGAAGCTACTACAGACAATTATGCTAATCATGAAAGCAGTAGCAATTAAGGTTTATTGAGGACTTTTTCTTTTCTTTCTGTGTGTGTGTGTGTGTGTGTGTGTGTGTGTGTGTGCGCGCGCGCGCGCGCGCTAGAGACTGTCCTGAAAGCATACATTATCCGGTTTCATTCATACTACAGGAGACCCATGTTATCGCATTCATGTATATTAATCAAGGATAAATTATTTTCTGTTCTTGGCCCAAGTTCCAAACCCCAAACCGCTGAGTTTTGATTACATGCACCCTACTTCCTTACACTTTCTTTTCCAATTGCCACTTGTACTCTCCTTTTGGTGGGAGCCAGGAGCTCTCTTTCCCCTCCCTCTGGCTAAGCTTGGAGAACCTTGATGACATCGCCTCCACCTCCTACTCCTCGGCCACTCCTCCCCCAGACCACAATCAGGCAGGCACCAGGTCGGAAGACCTGCTACGTAACCCGCTGGTGCTACTGCCTAGTAACAGTGCCTCAGAATTAGAAGCAAGTCGGGCGAGGGGTGGGGCGGGAAAGCTGGAGCGCGCGCAGGCGTAGCGTCTTTGCAGCCTCGCTACGGGGCGGAGACTTGCCAGTTAGCAGGGGCAGAGTAGCGATCGTCGCCAAAGCGCGCGGTTTCTTTTCTCCCAGCTTTGAACCCGGCAAACTAGCTTTTAGGAGTACAGAGAGTTCGAGGTTATATCACAATGTCTGGTGAGTCAGGTCAGCCTCAGGCTGGCCCCTCACACGCTGGGCTAGATTGGCCAAACCTTCAAAGAGATCGGGCTGGGGTCCCAGGAGGAGTGATCAGAAGGGCTGGTGCCCAGGGGCCCAGGTCCTGGATCCAAAAGGTTCTTGAGCAAATAACTGGCTCACCTCGTCAGTGGGTCACCCCCTCCGAGGTGGTGCCTGTCACTGTCCTGGCTGTCCAAAGGTACCTGTTAGAGGATGAGCCACGAGACACGGTGCCCAAGCCTCCCCTTTACTGCTATGATGTGACGATCTCAGACGGAGTGTACCAGGAGAAGTGCTACTTGGACCCCAGCTTGAACTCTCTTGTATATCAGAATATTCTTAAAGTTGGCATAGAAATGAAAATTTCCAGAGTCTCGTGTCTTTACAATGAGAAAAGGGTAGGCCAGGGAATCCTGTGCATAGATAATGTCCACTGTGGGGAGACCCTAGACGCAATTTCTTTAGAAACTCCCTTCAGAAATAGAGCACATGAGGAGAAACCCGAGAGACCCTTAAGGGGAGGGAAGAGTCATTACCTGGCGCTGTGGAATAATGAAGATCCTTATGGAGATATCTGGTTAACGGACAAGCAACCTGAGGAATACAATTTTAACAGTAAGTAATTGGAGGGAACGGCAAAGGGTTTCCGAAAGTTGCTTTGTTTTTTCCAGGAGCTTGCGCTAAAGGCAAAGAAATGAAGGTGCTTTTGTATTGTTGATTACAAGTGAAGGGTAGGAGCAAACAAGTTTTCTTGAAAGAGTGACAGAAGCTTTCTTAATGAAATTTGTGCAGCCCCTCTCTCGGTTTGATTGCAGAGTGGCCATTCTGAAGTGCCTTAACACATCTTAAATTCAGTGTAGCAAAGATACTAATGTGGAACTCAGTATTCCTCTTGCATTAGTTATATATTTGGCTATGGTGAATGAAGCTTAGTTGCATCGCATTTCATTTGTGGAAATAGTATGGTGTATTGGTTGAAGAGCATGTAGATTTGAATTTTGCATGGGAGTTGTAAATATTTGCATGTTTGCAGGTTTTGACCTTCATTCATAAAGGATGTCCCATGATTTATTTCTTAATAGTTTACATTAATCAAAATGCCACTTTTATATCCTTGTAACAGTTATTTAAATATCACTTTTGAGGGCATGCTTTTGTGGAAAGGCTCAGAATTCTCCTTTTCATGTTTCTTATTACTTATTATGAACATTACTGACCTATGAAGTTCAATTTTTCAGTATCAGAAGTGGGAAGTTACCCAGAAAATGCCACCTCCTCATCAGTAACTGCTCTAAAATGCTTTTATTATTCCTATAAGATGGAATTAATGGGAATGATAATACTGTGGGCATGAAAATATATGGGACAAGAATAAAATACAAAATTTAAATAAAAAGTACTAGGAGGAGAAATATAATTTTCTACACTTAATGATTTTCAGTATTTTTTTATGTTTTAATCAAACTGCTGAACCACAGGTCATCTTACTGTGATTTGTAACAGTAACAAATGAGAGCGAAAGGATAACTAATTGAAAAATACGCAGTTATAGTCATATCCAGTTATAAAGCAAAAAGAAAATGGTATAGAAATTTGTAGTCAAGGATGATTTAAATAAGTAAATTTTTAAAAATTATTTCTGGAGTGAAATAATGGACTGACTTTTTAATTTTTAATTTATTTATTTATTCTAAATTTTTAGCACACATATAGAGCACAATATTTCATGTCTCTGGTTGTACACAAAGTAGAGTCACACCATTCGTGTCTTCATACATGTACTTAGGGTAATGATGTAAATAATAGACTGGTTTTATCTTAAGCATAGAATAAAAGAGTAGTGCATTACTATTCTAAACGTTGATAATTTTTATTTTTAGAATTGAATATGTAAAATGAAACATTGGTGTCCTATAAGAGTTAAAAAGAGTTAAAATGTATATATTTCTAGCTTTTAAAATAGTTAAAAATTTGTATATTTGGTTTTTGTTGTTATTATTAAAGTAATATCTATTCATTTATCAAAAACATGTTTTATTACAAAATGCAATGTCCTTATGCTAAAAAAAAACTATACATTTAAAAGTATGTTGTGCTAAGAGTGCAAGATCCAAGTATAGTAAAATGGTGGGGTGGTAAAATCTAGGAAGTGAGTTTATTGTTGTTCTTTGAAAAATCCTTTCAGGTTTGCTATGTTTGAAATTGTTAATCATAAAATTCTGGAGTGCAATGAAAGACCTCTTTAACCTTCCCTTATACCTTCAACTTCTCTCTCAAAATTCCAAACTGTCTATGGTTCTGTGTGCACCTTTGAAGAATAATGAATTATATGGCATTGCATGATTTGCTATTTCCACTTAATTTATCTTAGATATCTTTCATGTATATTTGTATATATAATATTCCATAGAATGGATATGCGGTAATTTCTATAATCATGCCCATGTTAATGGTAATTTGTAACTTTGGCAGTGTTTAGTTTTTCCATATTAGATACAGTGTTGAACATTGTTAGCTATATGCATATTGATTGTATTCAAGCATTTATATTAAATAGATGGATTCCTACAAGTGGAATTCTGGGGTAAAAAATATTCGAATCAATTTAGTGGAAATTGACAAATCATCTGAAAATTTTGTACTAATTTATATTCACTAACATGTATGAGTGCTCATTTTCATATGTCTTGCTATTTTAAAATGATATCTTTTGACTTTTTTATTTATTAGTAAAATTTCTTTGCTAATGGTTATTAATTTTTGTCTACTATATACTCCAAGTTATTTTCTCACACTCTGTCCATTTTTCTCTAAACTTTGTTTATTGTATATTTTTGTGCCTTTGAAACCTCTTATTAAGGTATAACTTTACATGGTAAAATGAAAAAGTCTTAAAAATAAGTTTGATAAATTTCTACTTATATATACACCTGTGTCATTACACTCCCATCAAGACAAAGAATATTGCAAGCACCCCAAAAGATTCTCTCATGCCTTCTCCTAGTCAGTACCGTGACTGAAAGGTAACTCCTATTGTGACCTCAAAGACAGCTTTTTAAAATGGAGGTTAGATCATGCCAATTGCCTGCTTAAATCTCTGCAGTGGCCCATTGCATTTACACAGCAATTCAAACTACCCACTAGGAGCCACAAGGTCCTACAGAAGTGGTTGGCAAATTTTCTGTAAAACGTCAGATGATAAATCTTTTTACCTTTGCAAGACATATGGTCATTTTCAAAACTATTCAGTTTTGCTATCATAAGTTAAAGCAGACCTAGACAATGTGTAAATTAATGGGTCTGTGTTCCAATAGAAGTTCATTTACAAAAATAGGCAGCAGCATGATTTGCCTATGGAACCTGTGTTTGTTGATCCTGCCATACAGAATCCCTTTACTCACCTCTCTAACCTCATCTCTAACCCCTTCTTTTCTTCATTTTGTTCTAGCAATACCAGCCTTTTGATCCCCAAACTTCCAGCCTTTTGCCTGCCTCAGGTACTTTGCACCTGCTTTTTCCCCTTTCAGAATAGCTTTTTCCCATTCCCAGGTTTCAACTCAAATATATAAAACATTCTAGAAAGGTATATCTAAGTAAGTTTTCCCTACCTGTTTATTTTTATTATAGCACCCTGCAAATGCCTTTCATTGAGTCATAACACTCTGAAAATATTTTCTTTTTTTTTTCTCTTCTGAACTGTTCATAAGATTTGTAACTTTTTTCACCATTGTGAGACATAACCCTTATACTTAGAACAATGTTTGGCACACAGTAGGCATTAAGTAAGTGCTTTTTGAATAACGAAATGAATGAAATAAATTGCATTGATGGATTTGCTGATGTTGAGTCACTTTCAAATCCCTACTAGGTTGTGGGTTTTTTTTGACTTTTGCAGGATAATTTTTTTCTTCTAGTACTTTTTTCCTAATCATGAATACTCAACTATTCAAACTTACATGTCCATGTGTGTCTTCATAATTTATGTTACTTTTCAATAGGGTGGTTGGGGATAACATCACTGGGAAAGTGACCTTTAAGTAAACTTGAAGAGGGATGGGAGGAAGACACTTGGATATCTAAGAGGAAGATAGTCCAGATCCAGAGAACAGCAAGTACAAA